CTACCCCACCGCCATAATGCCGACGTTAGCCAAACTGGGCCAGGCGCTGCGAAAAGAGTGGACAAGACTCCCTCAAATTGATATGGGCAGGGATTGGACTTAATGCGAGGCTTGGAACCATGTGCTTTCTGAATGTTGGTCAAGGTCGTGGACACGGCGTCACTGCTCAGCGGTATATCGACCAAGTGATCAGACCCCACGTTGTTCAATTTTTTGCACAACATCATCAACACATTTTCCAGCAGGACAACGCTCGTCCCCATGTTGCCAGAGCTACCATGGCCTTTCAACACAACAGCCGTGTTCTACCGTGGCCAGCCCTCAGCCCTGATCTGAACCCCATCGAACACTTCTGGGATGAGGTTCAAAGGCGTCTGCACAATGTGCGCCCGGTCCCTACAACTGCCGATGAACTACGCACAGCTGCTCTGGATGTGTGCAGGAGGATCCCTAGGGCCTTCACAAATCGTCTGTTCCACTCAATGTACAGGAGATATATGGCAGTGATCAATGCTAATGGTGGTCACACCAGGTATTGACTGACATTTTGGGTATTGACCCGAAACTGTGTAAACCCTTAACATTTGAATTTTTTTCCATGTCATTTGCCTTTTAATCCATTAAACTGTCTTCAGTCATTTTTTTGTCAATCTTGCCCTATTAGTATTTCTTGTCTTTACTGTTGAAAATAAATAACATGTATACTGCATACTCGACTTGCGTTTCTTTTGCGTGTGAGTATACATATGATCATTTAATCATCACATAGTTCCTGTGTTCCGCGATTCTGATTGGCTGACGTAGTATCAAGATTGAGTGTTATGTTTCCATAACTGCACAAAAGATCGGAAATTACTCTCTCAAAATGATTCTCCTTGACCTCGCGTCAGTCACTACTTGCAACATTTGAAATGTCCTGAAATAGTTTGATAACAGCCAAAGGATGACGAGGGCCTAAGTTATGAAGTATAAATAAATCAGTTAAACACACTTCAAATGAGAATATTTTATTGCGGTAAGAGCTTATAGCACCATATAGTATATCGTTTCTTTGCAGTCATGATATCTTCTTAATGGCTCTCTGTTTCGTAGTACCTCATTACCTCAAACAGCTCGATCGTTCGTTCGTGTAAATCTGACGAAATCCCGTGAAAGCGAGATTAAAACGTAAAAATTAAAATTTCAGGAAAAGGAATGATTCTTTGAAATTTTAGATGACATGTGGAGGCTTATGATATAGATTAAACCGTTTTGTTTTCGTTCTGAGAACACTAGCTACGTAACATACTGTCCGTCATTTTCGTTTGCCTTTGATTCGGTTTACTGTTATCACGGACTGTAATATTAATTTCCAAATGAACTCACCTTTGATGACGTACTTAGCACCTGTTTAAACAAACGCCCATATAGTCCGAATGATTATTTTAACTCTACTGTGGAATGCAGACATTGGTGTACTGTGACAAGTCATGGTTGTTCCAGGCACAATTCTAAGATTGTTAGTTCTCTTTTGCCACCTGAATCGTGAACGTACAAACTTCACGATGCGCCGACTGTTGATGGTTAGCATAGCAAGCTCCTCTCAACGATATTTGTACTGATACTGACGTCTAGCGAAGATAGTATGCTCGGCAGTGAACTTGGCAGCGTAAGGGTCTTGTCACTGTGTTTATGCTTTCATTTGTGATTCCACTGAAATCAGGAGAAAAGACATCTTTTACTATCACGACCATGCTGACCTTTCAAAAGTATCAGGTTCTGCTCCAAGAGCATCTACCAACAATTACAGAGTCCACATATACTTACACGTTCGACCCGTGAAGATTCCGGGGTAGAATAGGTCTTCAGCAACCCATTCTTGCCGTAATAGGTGACTATGCTTGTCGTAAGAGGCGACTAACGGGATCGGGTGGTCAGGCTCGCTGACTTGGTTGATACATGTCATCGATCCCAATGCGTGAATCGATGCTCATGATGGATTGTCTGGTCCAGACTCGATTATTTTACAGACCGCCGTCATATAGCTGGAATATTGCTGAGTGCGGCGTTAAACAACAAACAAACAAACTTACACGTTCGGTAAGTACAAAGTATTGAAATACATATGATCATTTAATCATCCCAAAGTTCCTGTGTTCCGCGATTCTGATTGGCTGACGTAGGATAAAAATTGAGTGTTATTTTTCCATAACTGCAGAAGAGACTTGCGATCGTAAACTCAAAATGATTCTCCTTGACCTCGCGTCAGTCACTATTTGCAACAAGTAGGGATAAGAATTTATGGATGAACAATGAAGAGCGACGTTTCGATGTAGGTTCTAGGTTCTAGTGCTTGATTAGAACCTACACCGAAACGTGACGAGCGTATCCTGACGCCGCTGCAGAGTTCAGTGAAATGATAGCAAATACATGTTTGTAATGATTCGGGGTTTTAAGTTTAACCATACTTTATTCATCAGTTAGATGGAACTGGGGGACGTGTGCCAATCAATATACTAAAGGTGCAACACGTTGCATTGCACATCAATCGTTTGCAGGAAGGACACAATGCCCAAATCATCCCAAATCCGGTGGGAATTCCCGGTTAACTCTGACTGGTGGTTGACCAGGCCGACTGGTGGTGGTGGTGGGTCGTTGTTCATGATATCAATCATTGTTTGTTTTGTCCAGACTCGATTATTTACGGGCCGACGTCACATAGATGGAATATAATTGTGTGTGGCATTAAACGACAAGCCTTTGTTTGGGATGCCATATGTGAAGTACGAGATTGGTTTTTTAAGACTAAAGAAAGGACAATCCAGAACTGATCTAACTCTCCCTTTGTTTGCTTGTTTGTTGTTTAACGCCGCAATCAGCAATATTCCAGCTAAGTGACGGCGGTCTGTAAATAATCGAGTGTGGACCAGACAATCCAGTGATTGACATTATGAGCTTCGATGTACGCAATTTGGATACGATGACATGCATCAACCAATTCAGCCAGCCTTACCACCCGATCCCGTTAGTTACCTTTTACGACAAACATAGGCGACTCTTACGGCAAGCATTGGTTGCTGCAGACCTATTCTACCCCGGGTCTTCACGGGGCGGGATCACCTTAAGCCTGAGTTGCCCCCTGTCACTGAGTGCAACAGTGTGCCGTAGCACAGGGGAAGCATGCTTTCCCAGGAAAAGAGTATTATACGTGCACAGTGAAACGTTAGACTGACAGCAGCCTGCATTCAGCCTTTAAGAATGTATTCTGAATGTGCTCGTCATTGCCTGTGTTATATCATTTGTGAATTAACCCATGCAATGGGAATGTGTCCGTAGGTAGGCTTCAAGCATTGTCTAGCTTTTGTCGCCTTCTGTCCTTTATATTGTTGCGCATGTTTGAAATGGCATTATGAACATAGAAACGTGCATGTGTACTAAATAAAGAATGCAAAACCAAAAACGGATAAAGGCAACAAAACCCTTTCCATATCAATAAGAAATCTCTGCCAAAAACAAATCTTGGCGTTAGAGAGATAACAGAGTAGGCGTACATATCGATGATGAGGCTCACCACAAAACAAATTACCCAAATAAGTACGGTATACAGGTATGAATTACAGCAATGGTTTTCATAATCATGATAACAATCAACTGATACTGCATAAGCTTAAAGGTTACATAAAATGCTACCAGTTGAAAGTATAATCCTGGTCACCTTATACGTGACTCACCTTACAACTTACAACCTGTTAAAGACACTATTTGAGTACATCGAAATATTATCAATATATTGACAACGGATTGTATGTAGGTAATATCAATATTGTAATCGAAGGACGTGTTGATACACTTCGATTTATACACGGATAACTTTTCATTTAAACATGGATTTTTCATGAGTAATTATGATTTTAGCTCACCTAACTGAAAGCCAAGAGAACTTATCTCATGAACTCGGGCGTGTGCAACAGTCCTGTGACACTGTTTATTAAAAGCTGGAATGACACGTTTGAGGAGTTTTAAACGAACGCTTTAACCATTAGGCTACCCGACCGCCCCTTTAACCGAACAGAGGATCACAGGGTATATGGAGTTTGGATCATCTTCAACAACATTTATTACGAAAATCCTTAAGGCATTATGATACATCAACGTAATCCCTCAGTACTTTCATTTGCTACTCAGCTAATACAGCACTGGACCAGTTTCAAATTGTCATTATCAAACAATAAAAGAAATATTAAGTCAACTTTACCCCTTGGACATTCAAGGTAAGAACAAATCACAAGCAACCTATGCTGGTCGTACGAGGCTTGTTAATGGATCGGGGAATAAGGCTCATGAGGTAATGTTAACCTGGTTAACTGTGTGTCATGGTACCCCGACGGTAAAATAACAAACAAACAACGAAATCAACCTAGGTTAGTAGTCTACATATCCTTGTATATCGATATTTAAATGTAACAAAACATGACTACATATGAGTTGTTTTTGACAGATAGCAAATACAGAAATATGTTCCATACTATCTTATTCTGATTGTTAAAATTGGGACACGGACCAGTCTCAGTTGTTATCGTCAAAATCTGGTTATATATACAATCTAAAAAAATATGAATCAACTATCAACTAACACCTTAACCCATTGGAGAATATAGGTTAGAACGGGTCCCAAGCAGTCTACTGTCGGACAAGTGCCACTTAATTTGAATACAATGCCCGTTCCTAAAGAATATTGTCTTAATTACCTTTAGGCAAAACGAGGATATTTTGTTGTTTGGTGTGAGACACAACACTTTTGGTATACAAATTACAAGTAAAAAATGCTATAATGTTCTTGAACTTTTTATGTGAATACTGAATTGACACCCGATGAATGCATGTCCTTGAGAAACCTTGAACAGATTGATTTGTGAGGAACATTGTGGTGAACACTGAACGAATCTTTACACTTGCGCTGTCTATAAAGTTGTACATTTCCCTCGGGAACTGAGATATAGTGTTACAGGCAGGGAAAGTTTGTCAGTTTAGTCCAAGTCACTTCTCAATCATGTGGAAGAATCGCTCTCCGTGGCTACTTTTCTTGTTCGGTGTGGAACTGTTTTGCTGCTACGGTGAGTAAATAGAGATTTGTCGCCAAGTGTTTTCGTATCATAAATTTATATTGGGAATAACGATTGTATTATGCGAGTCTTTTGTCACTCGTAATACATAGTTTTTATTTCTAATATCTGATATTTACGATGTGGAAATACACGAGTGCAATAATGTCTTTATCGTATAACGTCATTCCAAAAAAGTGGACGTTAAAGACGTAAATCGCTCATAAAATTGGTATTACACGGAAGAGTTTAGTTTCTTATTTATTACTTGCCATTTATTACCTTTTTAGAATTTCACTGTCGTGTGTGAATAGGCAGACATCTGCACGATCCACAGCATAATCCAACTGAATTTAACACAATAGCACTTCAAACACGTTAAAAGTTGACAAAGTATTACTTCAAAACCATACAAAGGCCCATCTTTAAAATTAAGGTGTTCCACAAAGTTATCGTAGCCCTAAGGTTATCGTAACTCACATATTTTAACATAGACTTACGACAGTCGTTGCGCGACAGTACGATCTTCTTGTGGAACTGGGTCCGTAAGCCATGACGTAATTTGTGAAATTTTGATGCAAGATCCAACGGTGAAACAATGCTATATAACGTCAGCCAAGTAGCAGGGTCGCTGTGGTCATCCAGTGTCCATAAGCTCCTCTCAGTGATCTGTCATCCACGCGCAATGTCGTTGAATAAGCCAAGGGAGGTTGAGAGCTTTCAATATTTGTTCGTGAAACGTGTTCCCGCAGTACATAAGCACGCGTTTTGGTATTACACAATGTGTAATACAGCTGTATGTTTATTAAACGGGTGATCACTCACGGGCAAGTAATAAACAGTTATACTTTATAATGGGTGTAAGCTTGGTGTGTTTGGAAATTGTTGTAATCCCTAGAAATAGGTCACTTTAGTGCCGTTATGATCATAAAATCATATATCCACAGAAACACAATCAGGGCGAATTTGGGATTCGAACCCACGATCGTATGATTTTTCCACGTGTAAATAACGTACGTCTGAACAGGGAATTGCCACCCGTGCCTCCTACATTTAGGTATCCAACTGTGGGATGCTGTACTTGCAGGTGTATCCGGACTATGCAGCAACATAACGGCATGCAGCGATGTGAGAGACAACCTCACAAGAGACTACAACCAAAAACTTAAGCCAGTCGGTCAAACCACGATACACATGACTCTGGATATGAGGGTTCTGAAGGGAGTGGTACGTTGCAACTTAATATCTCACTTAAAATACGAACGGCTGTTGCTATGATCATTGGCAGTATGTATGAATTTTGTACGCTAGGTGTATTTTATATCATCTGTATGATCTTAGTTTTACTCAATATTGGAATAATTAGTAACCATAGTTGTTCCAAGTAATCCAACAAGTACTTCCTTATATTAACGTTCGTACATCACCAACTGTCCACAAGACTGCATGAGAAGAGGGACGTCTTCAGCCTTCTAACAGTAAACTTTCACCTTTATGTCGAGCAATGCTAGTATATCAGCAGCTTCAGCCTTCCGTGAGCGTGTTATTTCTACGAACATTTTAAAGAGCGTTATACGACTCTTGCTCAAACGATGATGTGTGTTACAACAAACAAAGACTCAGTAAAGTCTCATGGTAGACATGTGGACGACATTTCCAAATTTGATGCATCACTAACCAATATGATATCCGATGCAATTACCTATTTTGACTTGTACCATATGTTCCCGCGTTTGTTCAGCTGAAAGCATGACTTGCCTTTGCATGTGTTTGTGACGAATGAAATTGGTGGAGCAGGATATGCTCACCTTTTCGTGAACATCCGGTATCATGACAATTGGATAATAATTCATAAACACATACTTATGATATTGTCGGAATCATGTTTCTTATGGTTTTGTGGCATTTATTTACATGTACGCTTCGGTACTTCAAATTTATGCCCCAGAATGTTCTGTGTGCTTTTTGTCATGCTGTATGTGTAACTCTGTGAGGCTTACGTTGACCGTTGAAGACCGAGTTACTGAAATGATTTCAAAAGAAACCGAAATGCTGGCCACTAAAATCAAGTTGTAAAACAAAAATTTAATTTCTAAGGATTCCTATGTAGTAAGTTCGCAGTGGAACACAACATTTGTGTTAATTGTGTTTTTCCGTCTTTCGGTATTTGACCTTGTGTTAACTTAGGACATGGACCATTATCGAGATACATATGGAAAGTCGAATCTCAAACCTTCTCCACATGGCCTCTAACAAAACGGGGCTTGAATTAATTTATCCATCTTTTTCTTCACCTACCACAAAATTTAGTTACATGATCAGCTATTGTTGAATAAATATGCGATGTATGGATCAATGAGTTATGATATTCATATCCTCACGACATTGCAGTTCAGACCGTTTCAGTCGTTTTCCTTCTTCACATGGTGAGTATTAGGAGGCTGTTTATACTGAATGTCAGAAAGAAAATAACTTTTCAGTTAATAGTTAGTTTTCATTTTCTTGTTGTTGTTACATGACATTAATGAAGCAAATTATCTTTCTTTGGATGTACATGATATTGTGTTTTCATATGTTTTCTTATTTCATAGTATTTACTGCAAATCATCCAAATGTACTATTCACCTTCAACCTCGTAGATAGAATATTGATGTAGATAGTCGTAAATCTCCAGGTGTGTTTATGTGTCTGTCAACTTCAGTAATTTATGTGCTACATCTGAATTGCGCCAAAAATATTCAACATCCCCTTAGATTATCATGCGAAAAAAAGGTATTTTGCATATAAGTGTGATTTAAAAAATATATACTATTTACAAAACATATTATTGTCAATTGTACGATTCCGACTAAAGAAAGTTTAATTGGCAAGGTCACCGCCAGATATTTGCATACATGTACTTCCAAACAATACTTTCTTTCATTGAATGGACACATTGCTAGTATGGTGTTTGCACGTAAATTCACTTGCAAATGAAACGCAAAAATATTTATAGGAAGTGGAAGTTTGTAATAATATTATTTGCCCCTGGAAGTACCACTTTCCTTCTTCTAAAGCTTATTTCCTCTTTAAAAAATAATTTTTGGTCGTGTCTATATTTACGTATTTACCAACCTTACTCGTGAAAGTATCAGAACATGTGCACTTATTTTTAATGCATGAATTTACCCCTATACGACTGCCGCAGAATAACGTGCACATTTTGTAATTAATGCCATGAGAATGAAAAAATAGCAACATTTTCTCCCACATTATGAATGCTTTAGAAAAATCATCAAAGACATAGTTTGTAACTTTCAACATTAAATTTTGTTTTGTATATAATTATCAATACAATCCTGTAAAATAAACACAGTTCATGTGGTAGAATACCCTTGTCGACATCTACTTGCTCCCTAACAATCGTGTCAAGTGAATCCGTCCAAACGCTTTATAACAGAAACATTGTTTTACTGAATATACTTGTAGGTGTGGTGCTGGAGTAATTATGTCATTGGTAAAAAGTATGCCCTTAAGAAATATTAATGGAACTAGTTTAATATTGAGCTCCGGAATTCTGGAAAAGACAAACCAGTGATTATATTTATGTCACCGACCTACGACATGTCGGGTACACGTTCTAACTTGCACTATTTATTGGGTAAAAGTGTAGTATATAAAACATACCATTTACATAATCGATACCACTACATCAACCTTGAACATGCATAATAGATGCAAAAGACAATTTCATGTTTTGAATCTACGGTATGTTAAGAGGTTTGGCTAAGCAAGAGGAGCTGCAGAATACATAATGATTGACAATTTCTATTTTAGACATGGAAAGACGAACGGTTAATGTGGAGTGACCGAGAGCCCGACTACCTCATCTTCGGCAACGACGAGATATGGACACCAAATATCTACATTACTGAGTAATCTATACTGAACAGCAAAAGAAACATCCCTTCATGAAAATAATTCATGAAAGTTTCTTAATGAAATATCAATGCATTTATTTTAGGAATCTCGTTTGTGACATTAGTCTGTATCCAAATGTAAGGTTAACTGTCTAACAGTGTCACGATTTATGGATATATTGGGTCGCCAAAACGCAGCTTAGCAAATGTCGAGAGAAACCAGGCTTTGGGACAGCTGCATGCTAGGTCTGACTGCTAGAATGGTTGCTAATGCTAATGTACACGTGAGAACCATCTACAGATTACAGCAACGATACCAGGTCACAAACAGCATGCGGTCTTGCTAAAGTCTGGTTGCCGATTCTTCGTAAATCTTAGCATGGTCCTAGGATCGATATAAGAATGTTCCAAGTATTGGGGTACCGTTTATCAGACAATGCACAAGGACACACAAGTGAATTTTGATTTACATGGAAAGCATTCGGGACTTTGTACCGTGGTCGTTTGTTGAGCTACGTTTTGGCATTTGTGTAACTTTTGTACCATTAACTTAAAGTTTGGTTACAGACTAATGTCAAAAACGAGATCCTCCCAAGAAATGGACATACAGGTGTGTAGTGCAAAATATATGGCTAACAAAATCCAAGACTAATGATATAATATAATTTGTGTATTATCTATTTTATATCACCATGACTACACTAAAGGAACTGTTCGTATCAGAACTTTTCGTAGGTGAAAGTTAGTTCTCTCCTGGAAATGGGTTCAATGGGTTCCTAGTCGTTGAAGGCGGCGCAATTCACTGCACACAGTTACGTCCTTAGTACCAAATCTGTGATCTGTGTCAGCATCATACCCGTACTCGTGGATTGAATCAAAGTGGTAAATGTCTGTGACCTGCACCAGGCTTTCGTCCACATTAAACTGACAGATGTCATTGTTTAAACCATTCAACCTCGTTTTGCAGTGTCAACGAAAAAGGACTAGCTGGTATATTCGACGACGGACCAATCCCTTTAAGGGTGCTCCCTGATGGCACAGTTGAATGGTCACCCAAGCTGATTACAACATCAGCATGCGAAGCTCACATCTTATATTATCCATACGACTCACAAATGTGTCAACTGACCATCACAGAATCCTCCTACAGAGTCACTGATGTACTGCTCAAATCGAACACAACAATCAACAGCAGCTATGTTAACAACGGGCAGTGGGATTTTTCTAGTTCGGTTAAATCATCGTCTGACATGACTGATGCTCGAGTATTGGATTATAGTGCAATCATATATACTTTCAAATTTAAATGGTATTCAAAATTTCATGCAATGTTACTTGGGGTGACGTTTCTTTTGCGGTTCAGTATACATTTAGTACATAAGTAGCAAGTACTGGGGCTCAACACATATTGTCCGATTTCTTTACAAATGATATGTGTATTTCACCGATCATGCTATGTAGCATCTCTTGCTTGATTCAGGAGTGTATATTGCTGCTGTGATGACCTGCGGGTGTGCCATCATGATACCAACAGTTATCTCTGTATTTCTCTCTCACAAACCAGGTAGGTATGATCTTCTAGACACCATAGGCTCAGCTTTTCTCCATAACAAAAGCAATCACAGCGCTGAGATGATTCCAACGTGTTTCTCTTTTTCTACATTTTCTCAGAAAAAACCGACTACTGGTCATGTAAATAATAACCTACGAACCATGAGGACTATCAAATTATCTGTCCCTCGTGAATTAATGTTGAAAGGTACAAAATGAATTCACTGGGGACACATAATCATAATTCATCTTGGGGGCACGGGTGGCCAAGTCGTCTGAGGCGCCGCACTCCGCTGTGCAGAGTTGCGTCCCTTGGACACGCCTGAAATTGTGGGTTCGAATCACGAAGGTTTCACCAAAGTAGTAAATGGCGGAGATCGGCATTACTTTGGGCTTTCCTCCCATATTAACCTGGTCAACACGCCGTGATATGACTTATACTGTTTAAAGCGGCGTTAAATCCAACTCACTCACTCACTTAATTTATCTCTGCTCGTAGGTTAATCCCTATATATGCACAACAAATAACGTGAATATAGGAACAATTATCTTTAAAGTATACTGAATACTTTCAAGTTTATAATTGTCATGGACATAAATGAGTCTTCTGTAAATTATCTGTTTGTTTCTAGAAAACTCTTCAAAACCCGAAGACAAAGAAAACGGCGCTTTCCTGTCCTATACTCCTATGATTGTTATGATGATCTGCTTCTTTGCACTGTTGTCTAGCTCCGATGAAAACATCAACGCAGATTCAGCGATTGGAATAGTATTAGGTATTCCTGTTGGTCTTTTCATCTTACTATTTGTCACTATGATAGTAGTATTCGATGCCTTTCGAGGCATTTACATATAAATACACTGGATACGTAAATAATCGTGTCACGTTTTGTGCCCATCATTCAATGTGGGATGTGAGAGAGTGTACTTTTACGCCAACTTTAATAATATTCCAGCAAAATCACGGCGGGGGATACCAGTTATGGGCGAGTTGTTGTCCTGACTGTTTGTATATAACCGCGTTTGGCCCGACTGTTTGTGTATCATCGTGTTTGAGCTGACTGTTTGTGTATCATCTCGTTTGACCCGACTGCTTGTGTATCATCTCGTTTGATCTGACTGTTTGTGTATCATCGAGTTCGACCGGTCTGCTTATGCATCACCCGCGTTTGACCTCCCCGAATATGTTTTACTGTGCTTGACCTGACTACTTGTGTGTCACCGAGTTCGACCTGCCTGCTTGTGTATCATCGTGCTTGACCTGCCTGCGTGTGTGTCGCCGAGTTCGACCTGCCTGCTTGTTCATCATCGTGTTTGACCTGACTGCTTGTCCATCATTGTGTTTGACCTGACTGCGTGTGTGTCGCCAAGTTTGACCTTTGTTTTACCTGCCTGATTGTGTATTATCGCGTTGGACCTCCCCGAATATGTTTGACTGTGTTTGACATGACTGCCTGCGTGTCACCGAGTTCGACCTGCCTGCTTATGTATCATCGTGTTTGACCTGACTGCGTGTGTGTCACCCTGATTGACCTGCCTGCTTGTGTGTCACCGCGTTTGACCTGTGTTTGACCTGCCTGATTGTGTATTATCGCGTTGGACCTCCCCGAATATGTTTAACTGTGCTTGACCTGCCTGCTTGTGTGTCACCGAGTTCGACCTGCCTGCTTGTGTATCATCGTGTTTGACCTGCCTGCGTGTGTGTCTCCGAGTTCGACCTGCCTGCTTGTTCATCATCGTGTTTGACCTGACTGCTTATCTATCATCGTGTTTGACCTGACTGCGTGTGTGTCGCCGAGTTCGACCTGCCTGCTTGTGTATCATCGTGTTTAACCTGACTGCTTGAGCGTCACCGAGTTTGACCTGCCTGCTTGTGTATCATCGTGTTTGATCTGACTGCTTGTGTGTCATCGCGTTTGACCCACTGCTGGTGTGTCACCATGTTTGACCTGCCTGCTTGTGCATAACTGTGTTTGACCTAACTGCGTGTTTATCACCGAGTTTGACCTGACTGCTTGTGTGTCACCGCGTTTGACCTGTGTTTGACCTGCCTCGTTGTGTATTATCGCGTTGGACCTCCCCGAATATGTTTGACTGTGTTTGACATGACTACCTGCGTGTCACCGAGTTCGACCTGCCTGCTTATGTATCATCGTGTTTGACCTGACTGCGTGTGTGTCACCCTGATTGACCTGCCTGCTTGTGTGTCACCGCGTTTGACCTGTGTTTGACATGCCTGATTGTGTATTACCGCGTTGGACCTCCCCGAATATGTTTTACTGTGTTTGACCTGTCTGATTGTGTATCATCGTGTTTGACCTGACTGCTTGTGTGTCATCGAGTTCGACCAGCCTGCTTATGCATCATCCGCGTTTGACCTGCCTGCTTGTGTGTCACCGAGTTCGACCTGCCTGCTAGTGTATCATCGTGTTTGACCTGACTGCTTGTGTGTCATCGAGTGCGACCAGCCTGCTTATGCATCATCCGCGTTTGACCTGCCTGCTTGTGTGTCACCGAGTTCGACCTGCCTGCTTGTGTATTATCGTGTTTGACCTGCCTGCTTGTGTATCATCGTGTTTGACCTGCCTGCTTGTGTGTCAGCTCGTACGACCAGCCTGCTCATGCATCATCCGCGTTTGACCTGGCGGCTTGTGTGTCACCGCGTTTGACCTCCCCGAATATGTTTTACTGTGTTTGACCTGACTGCTTGTGTGTCACCGAGTTCGACCTGCCTGCTTGTGTATCATCGTGTTTGACCTGACTGCGTGTGTGTCACCCTGATTGACCTGACTGCTTGTGTGTCACCGCGTTTGACCTGTGTTTGACCTGCCTCGTTGTGTATTATCGCGTTGGACCTCCCCGAATATGTTTGACTGTGTTTGACATGACTGCCTGCGTGTCACCGAGTTCGACCTGCCTGCTTATGTATCATCGTGTTTGACCTGACTGCGTGTGTGTCACCCTGATTGACCTGCCTGCTTGTGTGTCACCGCGTTTGACCTGTGTTTGACCTGCCTGATTGTGTATTACTGCGTTGGACCTCCCCAAAAATGTTTTACTGTGTTTGACATGACTGCTTGTGTGTCACCGAGTTCGACCTGCCTGCTTGTGTATCATCGTGTTTGACCTGACTGCTTGTGTATCATCGTGTTTGACCTGACTGCGTGCGTGTCACCCTGATTGACCTGACTGCTTGTGTGGCACCGTGTTCGATCTGCCTGCTTGTGTATCATCGTGTTTGACCTGACTGCGTGAGTGTCACGCCGTTTAACCTGACTGCTTGTGTCACCGCGTTTGACCTTTTTGCTTGTGTATGTGTTTGACCTGGCTGCTTGAATCAGTTCGTTATATCTAAATCGGGTTATTTATTGGACCAACGCTGAAGCATTAGTTATGGTTTTGTTAGAACCCTCTGTTCACACCATCCTATTTCGTTGTAACCGGAACTAACTCTTGTACATTGTACTGAGGAACCGGCCACGTACTATGCTGCTCTGGGATTTGTCTGAGACGGACTCTTCACTGCCTCATGACATACAAGCAGAACACTTTTTATGTCACAACACATTTTTTCAGGACAACCTGCATGCCCAGAGAACAATACTTTTTTGTAAAACATGTTGTTGAAGCTAGAAATATAACATACGACGCAACTGTTGTTGGACATTCGTTGACACCAGTGAAGTAATTTATGTTCTTTTTTAAAGTACGGTTATGAATACATGTATGTTTGTTAGTAGCCATTGTTTATTTATCTCAATAAATGCTGATCGTGCTTGGTAGGATTTCAAGAACTATCGAGGTCGTTCAGCTCCCATTAATTGTTTTCATAGAGGTACTAGATGATGTAGTGTTTTTTATCTAGATGTGATATTTTTCTTGAATCATGTAGATTCGATTTGTAACCATTTGAAATGAATAGATAGAACGACGAATATACTATTTATTTGTATTCAGAAATAAAAATATAAGCCCTGTTAATGAAACTTCTTGATTGTCAGTACTGGTGTGATGCAAGTGAGTGAGTGAGTTGAATGTAACTCGTTTTAAAGCGGTATGTTCGTTGCATCACTGCGTGTCAGCCAACACAAGGAATGCAGGCCATAAATGTTTACGACTTGAAACATGGTGCTTACTTGAACTGTCCTAAAACTCACGAAAACAAATATATTTGAACACCTGCTTAATAAACCAGTGAAGATTCGGTGTAGAATAGGTGTAGAATAGGTCTTCAGGAACCCATGTTTGCCTTAAAAGGCGACGATGCTTGGTGTAAGAGGCGAGTAACGGAATCGGGTGTTCAATTCGTTGACTTGGTTGATGCATGTCATCGTCTCAAAATTGCGTAGATCGATGTTCATGATGTCAATCACTGGATTGTCTGGTCGAGACTTGATTATTTACAGACCGCCGTCATATACGTAGCTGGAATATTGCTGAGTGCGGCGTTAAACAACAAACAAACAAACCTGTTTAATATGTGGGGAAAATAATTGACCTCCTGAACATAAAAAAATGCTGATTTCAAACCAATATCTCAAAGATGCTAAACTTAGGGCTGCTAGTTACATGCTCTGGCAAGGTTATGAAAGGCAACTCTAGATCTGCACAGCGAATTGCGACACCTTTGGACTGCTTGGTCACCAAATATCTGCGAGGAGCAGATTCAACTGTACGATTCCGACAATATCATGAGTGTGTGTCTATGAAACTCTATCAAATAGTGATGATACAGGTGTTCGTGATGTCCTGCCCCACCGGTGGCATTCGTCACAGACACATGAAAAGGAAAGTCAGTTGAGCACCTGAAAAAAACCCGGGAACATGTTGCACAGGTCGAAATGGGGAATTGCATCGGCCATCTCTTGTGTCACTGGTACGTCGAATTTGGAAATGTCCTCCATATGTCTACCATAAAACGTTTTGAAAGCTTTACTGAGGCCTTGAATGTTGTAACCCTGATGAAACAACTTTTGAGCAAGAGTCTTATGACGTTCGTAGACATTTTCGTAGAAAGAGCATGCTCGTTCGATTGTACCTCAAAATCGTGAAATGTAAACACCAAAGGCTGCAGCCGCAGGAATATGGCTCGACATGAAGAGAAAGTTGACTTTGGGACAGTTGACGTCATCTCTGTTGTCATAGAGTCTTGTGGATATTTTCTGTCATTCTTTATGCATAGATCTAAATATGAAACAGATAGGGCCATGGAGCTGCATGCACTGCACAAGCAACAGCACTACGAACGGTATCAAAGTGCAAGGTTTTTTTTATTGCCTGGCATCTGCGTCAATCGAACAGTGACAGTTCAACAACATGCCAAGATTAACAGAAGTGCAAAGAAACATCGTCATGGGCCGCTTGCAGGCAGGGGAATCCCGATCAGCTGTAGACCAGGGTTTTCAATGTAGCAGCCAGCACCATCACAAGGCTATGGAATCAGTTTCATCAGCATGGGTCAACACGTGATCGGCCAAGGTCGGGACGACCATGAGTAGCCACCCCCGCCCAAGATCACTATATTCGACTGCGCCACTTACGTGAAAGGACGACCACAGCCACCTCAACCGCATCCGAAATACCCGGACTGTGCATAATCTCCGACCAGACCGTACGAAACCGTTTAAGAGCAGCAGGTCTACGAGCAAGACTTCCTGTTTGACGCGTCATATTGAGTCGACAACATCGTCAACAACGACTGTATTGGTGTCGTCAACACAGGGTATGGCCTCAACTGCGATGGAGAGATGTCTGGTTCAGCGACGAATCAAGATATTTCCTCCGTCGAGGGGATGGAAGGGAACAGGCTACAGACGTCGGGGAGAACGTTACGCCGGAAACTGTGGACAGGAAGTGGAGAGGTTTAGTTGGGGGTAGATTTATGATATGGGCAGCTATCTCTTATCATGGCAGGACAAGTTTAGTCAATATCCAGTGCAATCCAGTGCAATCTTACGATACATCAAGGAAATTCTCCAACCACACGTCCTCCAAATTGCAGCAGGTGTATTCCAGCAGGACAACGCTCGACCTCATACAGCACAGATCACAAGAGCCTGTCTACACAACAACGACGTTGATGTTCTCCCCTGGCCCTCCAGATCCCTGGATTTGAACCAGATAGGCCACCTCTGGGATGAATTGGATAGACGGCTACGTACGTCGACGTCAACCACAACCACAGATGTTGCAGCAGTTGGCTTTTGTGTTGCAGGCCGAGTAGGCTACATTGCCTAGGATGTGATTCGCATAGTCGTCTCTTCCATGGAGATGTCAGGCCGCTGTCGACTCCAACGGGGGACATACGCGTTATTGATGGTAGCTGACCTTCACCTTGGACTTTTCCTATGTACCGATAATTGAGATGACTACAATCACCAAGTGTTCCCTCAACAACATTTAGGCTCAATACCTTGTACGGTTCCTCGTGTAAATGTATTTTCCTACCTCACACAAATTTGGTTTTGAGTTTCATTTTTTGAATAGTATATTTTAAACATGTTCGTCAAAGTTGCATGTGACACTCAATGCTGAACAATATTTATAAACGTCTTCTCCTTGGTATGATTTTGTTATAATCAAAGGAGTGTCTGAGATGAAAATTGTCAATTTAAACGAACAGTATTTGATAGAACCAGGAGGTGAGTCGAAATGGGGTTTAAAGTGGCGTTCAAAATTCATTCTTTAATATATGTAGCGACGTGTTTGTGCGTGGCTGCTTGTACTAGTCCGGGATAATGCCGAGTTTAACATGAATACCACCTCAGACACAGGAGACTGCCTCCTAGCTGACCAGTCCTTGTTTTAGCATCTAAATGCCCTGCGCCAGGCAGGGTAATAACAAGTACAATCTTTTAAGATCGTTTGGTATGACGCGGCCGGGAATCGAACCAGGCTTTCCAGGCAGACGCTCTATCTCCTAGACCACGGAGGCCGTCCGATAGAGTGAGTATTGTTGTACGCCACTTTTAGCAATATTCCAACAATATCACGGCGGGGTCACTAGAAATGAGATTAGCACATTGTACAGATGTCTGTGATGGAACGTGTGACATTTTAACCACTAGGCTATCCCACCATCCCCCGTTCGACAGAACCAGGAAGTCTTAGACAGCACTGATAACACCACGACAAGATAACATATCACCATATGTCGCGACAAAAGATAATGCACATTATATCAACAGTCACTGTTGTGCACTGATTAAATCAGATAAAGTCCATGTTGCCATTGTGCGACACAGTGACAAAGCTGTAACGCTAAATACTTCAGATAAATCTGTAATGGTTAAGATATATACTGACAGAAATAGTTAGAAAAGTTTACTAATTCAGTGAATCTCGCTTCTTTACTAACCAGTTAGTAAATATTTGCTAATGAGACTAGTAGGTGGCCTATCGTAAATTAGTACGATTTGCTAATCAGTTAGTGGAGATTGCTGGCTTAAGTTGTGAATTATACCAAATTAATAAGTTCTTCTTTTGCTAAATGTTGTAGTATATTTACAAAAAATTTTAGAAGGTTTAAGTACACTTAAATCAATGATCTTTTTTTCTGTCATTCTGCGCTTCCTATTGGCAGCTGCTGAATACCATTTGCAAAAAGATAAGTAAATAACAAATGGCGAAAACAATACAGGCGAAAGAGACATTTAATGATGTGCAGTGGCATTTTAAGTTTAGTTACACAATACTACAAAAGTAATTGACAGGTATATAAAAAATACAAGTCTTGTTTTACACCAGTAATTTTAACTGACCTCCTTTCTTTATTGAGTGCATGCTATAAAGTTCATAATTTAGTCAGTCAAGAAAAAGGGCATTAACGGGGTTATAATGCCAATACAGTCAAACACCGTTGTGTCGAACTTTGATGTGTCGAACTTGTGGTTGTCTCAAGGTGAAAGCTTGGTCCCTGCGTATTCATTTTTTATTCATCATTTCGCTTCGACACAACGGCGTTTGACAGTATACAGCTAAAACTTTGTCTCATAATCCTCTCCTTGTTGACACAAAATGGCGAACGTCACACTGACCAAGACCGAAGTGAGCAATGTCATTTAGGTTTTGGATCCGACACTGAAATGTCTTTTCTCTCCACCGCTGCCGTGCGTAATCTGCGAGGAAGGATAGTAAATTCGATGTTTACTAACCCTATCGCCGCTGTTACTAATTAAGTTTGTAGAATGCACTTGACATTTTATTTATCGGTGTACGCCTTCGAACGGAAAAGAACAAACGCAATTTAGCAGGGCCGTTTAAAAATATACGCTTCAAATTAAGGGGATCATGAAATACAAATGTAAATACCAATTAGTAGAACAAAGATAAGTGTTGACGACAAAGATCCTATGTGAGAACGTTTATGCTTGTAAAACTTAACACCAAAACACATCCTATAGTTTGCACGTGCCTCACGCCATAACGCCACACACGTGCGGAGGGTGGAATTCCTGATTCCTTCAATTTACACTTTCAGGGGAGGTCGATTAATCTCTGTGGACCATTATTTCTATCACTCTTGTTGATTCTGCTCATCATAGATTTGTGATTTATTTCATTTCAATCATTGTTTGTGTATAAACTTGCGATGCCGCGTCTGCAAGGTGGAGCGTCTACGGGCTATTAGCATGCTGAAAAATGGCAGAAGTCAGTTGCAGTGGCCAAGACGTTCAATGTTTCACAGTCCGTGACGTCCAACAAGCCCAAATGTTGATGATCGACCCCGTTCAGGGCGTCCCATGTGGTCAACGACAAGAGTAAAGGTTCGATTGATCCGAAAATCTACGAAATCGAGCTGAAACGGCGAATCAAATTGCTGCAAACTTTCATCACGCCACTTATGTAAGAGTTACGGATCAGACGATCGGAAATCGTCTACATACAGCTCATTTCCATGCTCGACGGTCACGTGTTGTGCCATGACTTTTGATGAGTGCCGGTTCACTTTGCACTTCCTTGATAGGCGTGGACGTGTCTGGCGACCTCGAACCAGTGTCAACCTCATGACAGATTTGGCGGGTGATTGGTTATGGTGTGGGGTGGCATCACTGTGACAGAGCCAGCCAGACTCCATATTGTGCAAGGAAGGGTCACTGGACAGTGCTATCGGGACAACATACTGACACCCTTTGTTGTCCCGTGTGCAAGGCGTGTGGTTCGAAGGTTCGTCTTTCAGGACGCCAACGCCCGTGCCCACCGTGCACGAATCGTCAATGTTCACCTCTAACAGCACAACATTTATAGCGTGCAATGACCAACAAAGAGCCCAGATCTTTCTCCCAATGAACACGTCCTGGGATAGGATAGGGAGACGTGTACTACTATGTCACAGACCGCCGACCACGTTGTCTGAACTCGGTCAGACTCATACACAATATGCCTCGTCGAGTAAATGAATGTTCGACAAATCGTGGTGGTATTACGCACTACTGATCCAAAATCGTCAACTTGAAAGTTCCCATCTTTCCCCATTCGTCTTCAAGATTGTTGACGTTATACTATCTACTGTCACACCATGTACTGTCATACCATCTACTGTCACACCATGTACTGTCATATTTCACTATTAGTTGTGATATGTTCCCGGTTCGTTTATTATTATCATATTACTAGAAACTAATATCTCTTCCAATTTTAGAAATTTTAGGTTATTTCCGTCCAGCCCTACTTTCTTTAGAGCATAAGTGTATTTTTATAAGACAAATCAAAATAGGTCTGTTAAAACGAGTTTAACAAGTCACTCAAACGTACATTGACCACGAGCGTGATAGGGTTTTGGAAATGCCTTCCACCCAAGCGTAGGTGGATTTGCATTCCCGTCTTTGATTTGTTTGTTTAAACCAACATTCAGCACTATTGCGGTTATATGACGGCGACCTGTACATAAATGCAATCAATCAGACCACCCGATCCAATATGATAAGTATAGGTTGCTTGGGAACTAATTTTATATTCTTACTCGGAATCCATTACAACAAAACATGAAAATTCAACATTGGCTACTCACCGTATTAACGTTGATGCTAAATGACAATGCTGCCGTCTGCACCGATGGTAGGCCGGCAGTGGGCCGGTCGCTTCACGTCATGTCGGTTCGTTGTATCAGCAACTCTGATTGGCTTAGACATTAAATGCGCACCGATGAGGAGAGAGTTTACATGGCACAAGTGCTGAACTGAAATAACCTGAACTATGGAGACTTAGAGGGGTCATCGCCATGTCGTCTTGAGATATCCATGGGATAATGGGATTTTGCGACAAAGCGTTTGTATGATGCGATATTGCGATAACACGACAAAATATGGTGATAGAAGATAGAGCGATATTGCGATATCTTCGTTTATAGTTATATCTGCGCATGCTCCAACTGAAAGCGAAGCTTGCAAAGTTAAGCAAAGCGGGTATATTAGAACGTAAAAGATTGTTATGTGTTCTGCAGTATAATTGCGAATAATCCGCGGACAATCCATGGAGAAGTTGCGAAGAACCCGCGGATTTCTGTTTTTCAACCCTAATTAGGAGAATGGGACTATAACGCCGACAAGGCGTCACGCGCCATGACAATACTCTCTCATTAAGTCTGACTAAAATGTAAATACATGATGCTACACTATGAATGGATTGCAGGTTGAGTTTGATACATATTCGTCAAGTTGAATAACATTCTTGTAATAATATCGTTAAATATTCTTTTTGACTTAAATATTTGATTTATGATCAGTTTGCATTGTGTGTCTTCTGGTGTATGAATCTGCATGCATACACAAAGTATGTACTTGCATATAGTTGTTTGGAAAATGCTGCTGTATTAACGGTGTTATCACAGTTGGTAAACATATAGGCCGACATACCAATCACTCAGGCCTCACAGTTAACGTTGATGTGAAGTACTACTTTCGGCTTATTCTTTGGACTTTACGTTTGTGCACGTGTGTCAACACACATGATAATAGCTAATTACGGAAAAAATACCAAAACATGTAGCTGCGTCATCAAAATCTTTAAGATGTTGCATATTTTGTTGTGTGCTGTATCACGTTCTATGAGTGAGTGAGTGAGTGAGTGAGTTAGGTTTAACGCCGCTTTTAACATTATTCCAGTTATATCACGGCGTGTCAGCTTAATGTTGGAGGAAAGCCCGAAGTGATGCAGGTCTCAGACGTTTACCACTTCGGTGAAACCCACGAGCACGGGTATGTTGCTGACAAACCTAGAAACATAATTGGGACGAACCGATATTCGAACCCACAATCATAGGTTTCTGGCGTGCCCAAGGGACGCAACTCTGCACAGCGAAATGCGGCGCCTTAGACGACTGGGCCACCCGTGCCCCCCATCACGTTCTATGACTAAACGACCTATTATTACAATAATAACAGAGAATCGTTTCAATAAGCACATGCAAACACAGGTCAGATAAATAAAAAATCGTTATGTTTTTCTAGATATTAAGGAACACATCCAAATTATGCTTTCGAAATCGTAAGGTGTATTAGGCTAGCCTGTCAGTCGGTGATTATCTTGTCACACTAAGATTCGGTTTGATGTCCCATATGAGTACAATGCGAACCTGTAATCGTAGCCTGCATACGCCACCCGTCGAAATATTGCAGCAGCATTTCTTAAGGAACCAAACGCTGCGCGACAAACTGTTTTAACAAAGGAGTATAATGTTTTGAAGGTTCATTTTAGTGTGGCAATCACAACAAAATGTTCAATGTGTACAACCCTCAAGTGTAATTAAAAGTGTATTGATTAAAGTTAATTGTGTGCAAATATTGGTTGTTATTTTATGATGATAAATGAACCAGATGTGATTGTTCTGACGCTTGACATCTACGTAAAGTCTATACTAAAGTCTTGTGATACACTGTAAAATTAAATTTTCGTTGTGTTCATTGAAATTCCTGCATTCTCATTAGCTGAATTGGTCACGTGTTATTGCCTTCATTTCCCAATGAATGTAAAAAATGTAGCCACCGAGGCGCACTACTTTTATTTCTGCGGAAAGTCGGGGAATCCCAATATTACAGTCGAGGGAATTCCCTTTCTGCTCACGTGTAACGCCATGAACAGGACATTTAGCGACATTTATGCATATTCATTGTCCAAACTACCCTCTGAAACCAAAGGCCGAGAAGGAATGAAACAGCAAATGTGGAGGCTCGCTCGCCTGTTTTTTCCCCGCTCGCCTCGGTTCAACTTTCATGTCTTCGGGTTTCATTTCTAACTAGCAATTTTCAAACTGTGTTTTACCGTAATGAGCGAAGTAATGTTTGAATCTGGCGGTAACTGACCATGTTATTTGAAACAGCCGCCTTCTCTCGGACATATTTCTTCCGGTTCGTTACAGTCCGACTGTTGCAGTTCTTCTCGCCCCTGGCCTTGATTGACGGGTCCAATGAACATTGTTTTGATTCAACTCTCCATTGATATGCTACTGACTGTGTAGGCGTATCAAGTTATGTGCATAGATTAAACGATCACCTGATTCATGTCACGCCACAGTATGTATTCATACACCTTGAATGTTTTTCAATCTCGTCATTTTTGTCTCTTTTGATATATACAACTGTTTTTGGTTAAACTATTGTAGATAAAACATGTCTTACGTTGTCGAATTTAATTATAAGCATTGACTGTGTCTGTCTTTCGGTTCACCGAATAAAATACACAGTCAATCCTTTAGTGACAATCGAAACGTTCAGTCCAAGAGATAGGGTATGTTTATTTACCCTGTAATGCCCAAACGTACTCGTAACGTTAGCATTATGTCTAGGGTATTCAAATAGGTAATTCTTAGGTGGAAACTACGTCTTGACTATAGGGAACACTAAAGACATGACGCAGAACTTTTCCTGTTTGGCTGATTGTTTTTGAGAAAATGCAAGACATTGGAGGAGAAAGTATCAAGCTCCCTGTGTATTGAAGATGGCATTTGGTTTCGACTGTACCAGATCACTGAATATGTTCCGTCCACAAATTTTCTTCCATGTTCCACTGGAGATCTGAATGCAGGACTTGCAATATTGGCTTTCTTCCAGATGGAAGAGTCAAAGTGAACCCAGAGGAGTTTTTGTAGCGGTATACTCTTGGTAGGGGAAAGGGACATGGATCACAGCCCTTTACTTTATTAGGTGGTGCGAAAAATGCTGAAAATGCTTTTCTTGAAAATGCTGTAGTGTCGTCACATCCAGTGAAAGCATGGAAACATGGAAGAGCCTCACAGATATCCTCACCAATAGCTGAAGCAAATACGTTGCTATCACTATAGCTTCTGGTATTGTTGTATTTCCTGTGTCGTATTTTCCAGGCGGTGCAGCAGAATTACCATATGTTCTGACTGAAATCCTTGGAGATTCCAAGTCATTGCTGGTACTGTATGCACGAAATATTAAGCTTGTATCTGCTACTTCGTGGCCGTACTGTAGATGTGGAACAAGTAATTTGACAGCTTGCCCATTGTTGGCTGTGAAAACAGCAGACGCTGTCGATGTCAATATAGACTTCAAATCCTGACAAAACTATATTCATTTGTTGCTCATTATCCTATTCGGTTGGAGTACTCTACGTTTGGCAATCATGTCATATCATCTTAGAATCACAAGCATATCATTGCTCAACTACGTTGTGAAAATGTCCAGCGCAATAACAGCTGTTGAGGTGAGTACTTGACACTTTTATTTTAGTTCAAAGAAAATTGTGCTCGTTTAACAACACTTGAAAGATGGCGGGTTTGGACACAAAGGATGATCATGAAACTCTCGCCATGAGCAAAAGCTATCCCATGTCGGGAGTGATCAAGAGGATTTGGAGAAACGTCTTGAAGCAATGGAAAATTGTTTGAAGCCATTTAGTGAAGCATATCCCAACTCAAACCTTTATTGTATCAATTCTGGAAAGGCTGTACCAGACGAAATAGACAATAATCTTCTTTCTGTGCAACAGAAAGGAGAAGAATGGCAAGGAGAAAAGTGGAACAAGCAGTTTGAAGATGGCTGCTTTACTCATCCTCGTCGATTTCAAAGACCTATTCCATGACGTAATGTAGTACATTTTGATGTTGAAACTGCGAAACTGTCTTGCAAATTAAAGATATATGAAGGTAAAGGGGCCGAAATACACATGCGATCTTGGTCCGCTTGCATAGAGCGATCTTAGTGCTACGACTTCCTTAACGAATTTGACAAATTTATTAAGGATTCGCATGATTTCTAGTCACGAATTTATTAAATTTACAAATATTTGATGAACAATCCCAATCCGGTAATTATTTCTCAAGGATTCACATGCATTGCAATGCTATCAATGTTACACATCCTACAAAGGAATAACAGTTATAGTTTCTTTACATCTGATATCATAATGCAACGGCAGTTCATGCTATCTCAAAAACCATAGGTATCTTCTCAATTCCTTGATATTGATATCTGTAACATTATATTTTACAGTCAGCAACAATTCAATATTCATATAATCTGCAAGTAGTGTTGAACCATTGATGTCACTAAAATATTTTGCTGTCACGGGCTTCTAATCTCCGCCTGAACATTTCTTGGAATATATGAAATATCTTCAGTACCTTGACTTAACTATGTATATTCAACACTACACATACATTTGCTTGGGATAGCATTCACCAGACAATTTTCGCTATAACTTTACACATTTTTGGTAGTGGTCTATATAAATTCCAAGTCTAAGACACTAGATTATCACAATACCACTTCTCATACTGTCATAAATAATCACCATTTCGATTTTTTTTTCTCCTGTCATCCATAATTATCTGAGAGCCCAATAATTTACAACATTTACATTAGGTGTCACTCTTACTTTGCAGGTCAATAACACTGATAAAAAAGATATAAATAATCAGTATACAATAATAAAAGTAGTTCCAAAATATCCTATAAATATATAAATATACATCTTACATCTGCATCTTTTATCATGAAAATTGAAATTCTTAAATAAACATTGCAAATAAATACGGACTGATAACACAACTTTGTCAGACTCTTTATAAGCTTGGTTTATTTCACGATAAAACATTGTTGGACATGGTTGACTGATTCTCTCATATTTGTTCAATATGCCGATAATTATATTGAGAATCACGATGAACTATTATGTAATATTTACAGTGATGATGACGTTAATAATTACATAAACAGAGATGTGAAGAGATTGAAGCTGGCAAAAATAATTTTGCTGCAGTGTTGTAGTTCCTTCTTAGTTCCTTACTCTTATATTTAATAACACTTTGAAGACAGGAGTATATCCATCAGAATGGGCAAACGAAACTTATAAAAAAGGCAATGTCAAATGTGTTAATAATTACAGGGGTATATTTTTAGTGGACACATTTGGTAAAGTATTTTGTATAATATTAAATGAACGTTTATTTTCGGATTATTTTGAGGAGATTCAAGAAGCTCGGGCATGATTTCGGAAGCGTTACTGTACAGCCATGATAGGAAATATGTATTCCAAATGCTTTGCGGCAGTTAGAATGTCTAAGATATATGTTGTTGAATATTTTGAATGTTTGAGTGGAGTTCGACAGGGTTGTGCCTTGAGTCCTTTTCTTTTTTGCTACTATGCTAGAAAATAAAGAATGTAAAAGCATATCTGAATATCTGGAATTATTAATGTTACTTTATGCGGATGATATATGATACTGCTATTGGATTGCAAAGAAAGATTGATAGTTTAAGACAGGTTTTGTAAATCTTGGTGATTACAAGTTAATATGGATAAGACGGAGATGTTGGTATTTCGCAAAGACTGTATTCTTGAATTCTACGAAAAATGGTAAATGGGTGGTGATCCATTTAAAACTTCTACATATTATAATTATTTAGGGGTGTTATTCTCGAATGGGGCCTCATTTGTAATAACAATGTTGCACCATAAAATCCCATGTATGCCTACAAATTTACTCCTTAAGCTGTTTGACACCGATTTTATAAAATGGTGCAGAGACTGTGGTGCTGTAGAGACTAGTATTAGACAAATTTCATACCAATTTTGTAAATATGTTTTGGGAGTCGGTAAATATGTATGAAGAACTGCACTTTAACAGAACGCGGTACACATGGTTTGTGTGTAGATTATTATGTTAAATGTGTTACCTGCTGGTCCAAATTGTTAAGAATATCGGACAACCGTTACCCCCAAGCAATGATATTCACTTATGCGAAATATGGATGCAGTCGGCAGATGTACATTGCCTGGGCGTCACACCTGCGAATGTTATTACATAGTGTAGGATTTGTATTTGTATGGTTTAACCTTAATATTGGAGATTTCGCTCATTTCAATATTTAAACAGGTTACAGGATTGTGGCAAACGAATTATTCAGGCCAAACTTAAGGGTCATAACGTTGTGTACATTATAAACTGCCGAAAACATTGGAACTGTTCATGCACTGGGCATGAACATAGGCCAGCCGATTGATAGAATTGTGCAAACCCTACCTAAGTAAGGATTGGTGTGTTGAGTGCTCCAGTGCCCTCAGGGCTGTATTCCTGATAGCAAACCAACAGTTTGGATAGTCAGTCAACAGATTGGGAGGTACCAAACCTAAGGCACCGAGAACAATGGGGAGTCGGACAACTTCGTACTTGGGATGCAAGCGTGACATTTTGAAAGTGAAATGTTTTTCCTCAGTCTTGTCAATCACATTAGTGTCAAAGGGGCAGAAAATTCAATGATATAAATGATTTCATTGGATTCATCAACAAGGACAAGATCAGGTCTGTTGGCCTGGATACGTCTGAGGCTGTAAATGGGCCTATTCCAAAGAATTTTGTATTCATCATTTTCCATGTCGCCCTCTACATATCCCGGGTCGTATCATGGGTGGATCTCTGTGTCAAAACCACGAGCATGGCGAAGACGGCAATAAAATGATCGAGCTACACCATCATGGATACTGTGTTTGAGCCAAAGCTGGGCATCCACTGACAATGTCTTGGACAATCTCATTAAATTCATTACATAATCTACATTTCATATTTAAATTTTGATGCAAAATCACACATTCATATTATGTCCCACATCCTTGGCTCGTTTTAGAAAACTGTTCACCTCTGAACTCTAGATTTTCTTTAGTCTACATTTGTACTCTGCCCGAAGTTTGCCCTTGATATGGGCATTCTGGAGTTTGTCCATAATCTGCATCCCTAAGTTCGTATAGGCCTGACCTTCCACAAGATGGTCAATAACTCCTCCTCCAAGTAAACTGACTGATCCTCCCTCTTCTACCTTGCAACGTTTCAAATGAAGAATGTTGCATTTGTCGAGTCCAAAGAACATGCCAATATCATTAGAAAAGGACTCGACAAGCAGAATCTGTTGTTTTGAGTGTAGATCCCCCATTAGCAATAAGCTCAAGGTCATCCATGTAAAGGAGGTGAGTAAGGGGTGTTGGGGATCTGTGCTTAGGAGGTCCCGGATGATAACCTTCCTCTTTGCTGAGCAAAGAGCTTAAAGGATTCAGTGACAAACAGAAAAGCAAAGGGTTAAAAGAATCGCCCTGAGATATTCTTCTCCTGATAGAAATGGGTTCCGAAGTCACAACCTGCCCCTGCGAATACATCTCAAGTTGAGTTGACAAGCAATTCATTAAAGACTTGAGTAAAACAAGTAGTCGCTCAGAGAAGTCAATACTTTCCAGTGACCTCAAAATCCATTCATAAGCTTTTCTCTAGTCTATCCAACACATTGAGAGGTTACGGTGGTAAGTTTGAGCCTCTTCAAGGATAATTTTCTGAACTAGTAGTTGATCCTTACATCCCCAACATCCCTTTCTGGCTCCTTTCTGCTCCATGTAAATAATGTCATTGGATGTGCAGTATGCTGACACAATATCTGTAAGACATCCTGTAAATATTTTCTATTGTGTATTCAGACAAGGAATAGAGCAATAGTAATTGGGATCAGTCAAATCACCCTTCTTTATTATTATTATTATTATTATTATTATTATTATTGCTCCTCTGCCCACACCCCTCACACAACTCCCACCTCTCCCTCCTCGAGAAAATACCCGATGTTAAAATAAATGGTGGGTCCCTTGTTTAACGTGGTGTCACCTCAATGTTTAGCCTCGCCAGGCGTTAAGAAACAAGAGACCCAGGAAAGTGATAGTTACCACTTCAGCGAAACTCGAAACGAATGCTGGACTAGTGCAGTCATAATCGATACGAAGGCGAGATTCGAATCGACCTGTCTGTCAAAAAACACAATTCTGCATAACGAGTTATGTGACTTCAGGATGAATATTTTAAGCAGGGTAATTCAAGCCACGATTTCTATCAACTCATTCCCTCGGTACATTCATTTCGTTCATACAATGTAAGTGTTAACAAAGAGGTTCCGCCTACCCGACCTCATTTCCATGTGGATCATGTTACCGGATAAACAATACCGAGCAGGAAAATAAGACGTCGACGCATCTGGGCACGTCCATGTGAACGGCCCGTGACCTAAATTGTGAGGTTATTTCAGAATATCATTTAAAGTCACTTCTCACGTGTGCGCTTTGTCACAATATGGCCTCTCTCTCCATAGTTCTGGTTATTTCAGTTTAAGACGTTTGTCATAATAACTCACCCCTTTCCTGTGCGCATGTAACGCCTAAGCCAATCAGAGTTGCCTTCACAACGAACCGACATCACGTGAAGGAGCCTCCTTCTGTAGATATATGCGACAGGCTGCCATCAATACACACAGAGCATTGTCCCCCATTTAGCCGCAACGTGAACACGGTGAGTGGTCTTTGGTGATATTACATGGCTTGGTGTAAGAGTGCTCATCATTGTTATAATGATGGTTGAGAAGATATGTCACCAGCCACCTGTGCGTGTGCGACCCTTTTGACCGGGAGGTTAGGCTCGGTGACTTGCATGGTTGATTGCATGTCATCGGATTCCAAAGACGTAGATCGATGCTGAAGACACTACATTGTCTGGTCCAGACTCGACCACTGTTATTCGGCTGAAACATTGTTGAGTATGGCGTTAAACAACCAGCCCCTCAAACTCACTGATAGCTCCTCACAAACACACGTGAACTAAAAGCAGGAGAGGAGATCACTCGAAAAATGTTTTGTTTGTGTATTTCACCTGACACACAAGACTTTGTGAATAACCTTTTAAAAAGACATTTAAAGATTAGGCGTTCATTTCAATCCTCTTTGGTAACATTGATAATGATCAATCCATGCAATCGGAAATATCATTTTGAACAGTATGTGTAAAGCGTGTTGCATTTTGCACTTGTAAACCGATAGTATATAGACCGTGACAAAAGCTACTGAATGCCTACCTGTTGTAGTGACATAAATAAATGTACATTGTATACCCGACATAACGCGTTACAAACAGAGCATTAACGTGCTGCACATAGCAACCACTGATGGTTTTTCGCTCATGGTCAAATTACACCTGACTGACTGGATAAACCTGTTCTAACAGCCCACTGGGATTCGTCCTTGACAAATACACTTGTTACAATAGCGTATTTCCGCGTGTGTCGATACGTTTTAAAATGCCCTCGTAGTAATAGAAACGGTATGTAATGGGTCCTCGTTTACGTATCTTAATTTATTGTGTGCCACAGGGTAATCGTACTTCTATTAAATACTGTTTGTTTGAATTGACAACTGGCATTCTCAGACACTCCTGTGATAACGAGAACATCATAGGAAGGAGTAGACATTGGACTACAAATATCGATCCGCGATGAATGTTTACATAATACTTGGTATTAATCAATGGCAGGTGCATGTGTTATGGCTCGATAAACACCGCTCTTTGGGGGAGCGTATCCAAAGCAAATAACAGCGGAGGGATACATTTTACAGGTTATGTTTTATCCGCGTTGCATACATAAAGTACATGGCAGGGCACTTTCAGCTCATGTGATAATCAGTCCCCCTTTCAACATCACGCCGATAATAACACTATATACAGTTATTATATTAACTTGCGGCCGAGGTAGCCTAGTGGTTAAAGCGTTAGCTCGTCACTTCGAAGACCCGGGTTCGATTCCCAACATTGGTACATTGCGTGAAACACATCTCTAGTGTCTCTCGCCGTGATATTGCTGGAATATTGCGAAAAGCGGCCTCAAATTATATTCTCACTATTATATATATTAAGTGTGTATTGTATTGTTCTTTACATCTGGTTAAAGCTGCGTATCTCGAATCTGTTGATGATGTCGGTGTTGTTGGTGCAGGCACGTACACGTAGGCCATACTCCGAGGTAGAGCTGGTAGAGTAGCAACCTTAGAAACTAAAGTTTCTTGGCTAGTCCGGAGGACTAGAATATGTCTTATTTCACTAGTCCTCACAGTTTGTAGTACGGCGTGAAGAAGGCAAAACTGTTTACTTTGCTTACAGTTTCCGTCAGTTTTTTCATTTCCAATTTGTGGCAAACTTGAAGCATTGAGAACTGGTTCATAATTCATCCCCAAAGGCTACATGTGCTTGTCAATGAATTGTGTTTGTTGTTTAACGCCGCACTCAGCAATATTGAAGCTATCTGACGGCGGTCTCTAAATAGTCGGACCAGACAATTCAGTGAGTGACATCATGAGCATCGATCCACGCAGTTGGGATCGATAACATGCATCAACCAAGACAGCGAGCCTGGCCACCCGATCCCTTTAGTCGCCTCTTACGACAAGCATAGTCGCCTTTTACCGAAAGCATGGGTTGCTGAAGACCTATTCTACCCCGGATCTTCAGGGGTCAATGAGGACTACCATCATGGGATATTTACTCTCACAATTTAGTAGTCTCGAGCTTGCGGACAAGCGTGAATTTCGAAGGCTGGAGTTGGCGTGAATGAGAGCGAGGGAGTGGGTGTCTGAGTGAGTGAGTGAGTGAATGAGTGAGTGGGTGGCAGCAAAGCTTGTCCGCAACGACGTTTGTGCGTGACAACGATGTGTGACAGGAATGTGTGATGGATATATGTGACAGCAATGTTTCACTGCAATATTTAACAGAAATATTGACAGGTTTTCAGACACAAATGTTTGACAGCTATGTATGACAGAAATGTGTTTGTTGACATTATTGAACTGGACATGTCTTCACTTCAGACTACAACGTGGCTGCTGCAGCAAAGAAGATCCTGGAAAAAATCATCTTCCTGTTGTGATACTACATTATAATAAACGATTTACAAGTCAGGAGGATGGGAAAACTTCCACTGTTACTTCTTTTCCCCCTCTTCATCTCTGTGCGTAAGTTATGACAATAAAACATCATGGACATATTGCATTGGCCTCAAGAAATAATACACCCTTTGCCTTTGAACTGGGGTTATCGTAAATGAATTACAAATTAAAATTACCAATTACTTTTCATGCCATCTCTATGTTATTGGCTCAAACTTAATATGGGATTCGGGTAATTATAATACTGTATTCCGATTTCGTTGCCATGGTTTCTGGAGGTGTTAACTTATATAAAGGAATTGACCAATATATACTCTCTTATTTACTCATGTTTTGTATGTCTGCGGTAACAACCACATTCAAATGAAATGATAAACAAATCTCTAATCACCCGTAATGGAGAATAAGTTTGGACAATTAGTTATAACCATACTGTCCTGGGTCTATTTGGACAATACTCCTTGAAATGTATGGGTATTGGCTAAGTTTTTGCTTACTAATTGAAAATATATTTTTTTGTGACATCGGACCTGATGGTTCCACTTGAGATCAGTAAATCAACACTTTAAACATTTTCTTGGAAAAACAAAGCTGTGTAATTTATAGAATAGACTATGTACATTTTGGAATGACAGATTATGTTTCTTATCAAAAAGGGGGCACGGGTGGCCCAGTCGTCTTAGGCGCCGCGATTCGCTGTGCAGATTTGCGTCCCTTTGGCACGCCAGAAACCTATGATTGTGGGTTCGAATCCGGGTTCGCCCCGATTATGTTTCTAGATTGGTCAGAACCATACCCGTGCTCGTGGGTTTCACCGAAGTGGTAAACGTCTTAGACCTGCACTTCGGGCATTCCTCCCACATTAAGCTGAAACGCCGTGATATAACTGCAATACTGTTAAAAGCGGCGTTAAACCCAACTCACTCACTCTTATGAAATAATGTTGCGAGACAATATTAATTCGCTCCGTGAATATTCCGTGTGTCTTCGTATATCACAGGATATTCTCTAAATATTTCAATACAATATTCGCTAAATAATAATAATATACATATAATGTATCATTCCAGCTCCCCTCGCAGCTAAATCCTTCTTAGAAGCGTACGGTGACCTAAGGGAAAGCTTAGTCGAGCCGACAAAATACAATTTCAAAGTGAGACCTGCAAATGAGACAGTCATCAACATTACTCTCGATTTAACAACCCTGAACAACCTGGTATGTGCTGTTATAACATTGTGAGCTTGCTGTTTATGGTATTATTGTGTGTGTGTGTGTGTGTGTGTGTGTGTTGATGTGTGTGTGTGTTGATGTGTGTGTGTTGATGTGTGTGTGTGTGTGTGTGTGTGTGTGTGTTGATGTGTGTGTGTGTGTTGGTGTGTGTGTGTGTGTGTGTGTGTGTGTGTGTGTGTGTGTGTGTGTGTGTGTGTCTGTGTGTGTGTGTGTGTGTGTGTGTGTGTGTGTGTGTGTGTGTGTGTGTGTGTGTGTGTGTGGTGATAAGACGGCAAAGCGGGAGAAAGTGGAAACTGGAAAGGCGTAGGAAACTTTGAAACTTTGTATAAAGGGTGAAGTATAGTGCAAAGGAAAACAGTGAGGGTAACAATATTTTTGAAAGTTCCATTAATCTGACCTTTCTGAGCACAACACTTTAATACGTTAATCCATTCTGATAAAATGTTTGGTACATTTTTGTGGAGAATCGATATATTACCTACCTTACTCCATATTGTCTTACAATTAATAGCAAACCAGGTGTCCAGAAAGTTGATTTTATTTTCCTATGTTTGAAGGACATAGGATCCCAGACTTTGACTTCAACATTTCTGCTGTATATGGTGAGTGCAGATATTCCAAACACATTACGATCATAAACAGAGAAGCAACACTGGATAATTATACCAGCTACACATCGTACCGAGAGACATGTTAACACCAATACCGAACATGCCGTGCCTAAAAATAGAAGACGGGAAAACAACTGGATCGTGAAAATGCAAATAAACGAGACATGCTTTCATCCATTTGGACACCCGGTGTCTAAGACGTCAGGGTGTGAACAAGGGTCTTTAGGGTACACTTAGACTAGACATGCTAACACATCCCCAGAAACCGATGTTTATTTTGAAAACCTGGACAATCTGGTGAAACACATTTTGTATCAACTCGGCATATTATTCAGGAATAACACGTCTTGTAGTATATGCCTGCATTATAGACTAAACTTCACTAATTGTAAAGTATATATGAGTGTTCCTATTTGAAGCAAAATGTTGACATGCGGGATGTGAACAGTAGGACAAACGACTATCAGTGATGCCAATAATAATCATCCTATTAATATAATATCCCGATTATTCCTATTCATAACTGTTTATCCCGCGTAAATTGGACAGGATCACTTTCATTTTAAACCTGCTTTAGCTTGATGATATTCTTTCAAACGTTAAGTAAGTAATTAACATAAGTCACTCATCTTAAAGAAATGGTTTAACGGATATTTTGAAAATAGATAAGTTATGTCATACGCACTATCTAGTTTCTCCTTTCGCGTTGTGTGAGATTAAATATTACTTAGACCACGTTCTCTTTATTCTAGTCATGGATCGATGAACGGCTTACCTGGCCATCAACAACTGGCATCGACTACCTGATATATAGCATCAAAGAGATATGGACACCAAATCTAGTTATTACAAATTAGTAAGTACATGTACCTATACTGTTCCACAATCAAAACATAATGCTGAGCTATTTACTGAACAGTTTGCTGCACAAGTACCTCCACATGTATACGTACACACTGTGCTCTTTCGAATTTGATGGCATGCCATACTACAAATTGTGTATTGCAATAGCTAGTAAAAAATTGTTGAATGCAAAATAGCATACAAGATGTAGACTTTGGAGATTTTGAATGCATAAAAGTGACCAAAGTCAATGTTTATTTAACTCCCTGAGCCCTCAATGTTTACACACGAGGCTTACTGAACAAAATGTATTCAATGATGAGTGAAAGGGTCATCAATTTAATCTTAAAAGGTTAGGCATTGTATTTCATGGTAGGTATTAACATAGTTTTATTTCTCTTATTAACAAATACATGTTAGAGGAAAAAGGATGTTAATTTCAACAGAGGGTTTTGCCACATACTGTTTCATATCAGTTCTTGTTCTTCATACAAAGTCAATATCATAAGAAACTATGTCATCAATAAAATTTCAGATCGAAAAATTATGACATTAATACATTAATTGAACAACAACTTTGATCACCTCTGAAGATGAAACTCCAACAGTATGCCTCGTGTATATCACACATTGTGAAATGCGTGTTTTCATCTAGTGTATTACCTCTTTTTAGTGTGAATGACTTTGGACTGATTGGGATCTATGAAGACGGACCCGTTCCTCTCAGGGTGTCCATTGAGGGCCGAGTGGTGTGGACTCTCCGCGTAGCCACGACAACGACATGCCAGGCCGACATTACGTATTATCCGTACGACACTCAGGCGTGTGACGTACACGTCATGGAGTGGGCGCATCCCATGAGTGAGGTGGATCTTCTGCCGGAGGGAATTGTAAGCAGTTCGTTCCAGAGTGATGGTGAATGGGACTTACTGGACAAGACACTACAAAGTGGAGGAGAAGTTGGTGCACATAATTTGACCTATGAAAAAATCAAATATACATTCTTCTTCCAGAGGCACTTTCAGTGGTATATTCCGTTGATGATGATACCATTGGGTGTTCTGTCCCTACTGATGCCAGGCGTATTCCTTGTGCCTGTGGAGACTGGAGAGAAAATGTCCTACGCTCTAACAGTGATGCTGTCATTTACAGTGATCAGTTCTTTTCTCTTTGAAACACTACCAACCGTTTCAATCAACTACTCCTTATTAGGTAAGTATAACGGTCCTACTCTCTAACAGTAATGCTGTCAGTGATCAGTTCTTTTCTCTATGATACACTACAAACCGTTTCAATCTATTACTCCTTAGTATGTTAGTATAAAAGTCCTAGTTCAAGAAGAAATTAGTTGCTTGAGTTGAGGAATTAATAAATTATATGGTATTATATACCTACTATGACAGACACAAAATCACGTGGCGTCTGTGTCGCTGGCGTAGTCTCAAGGTTAGAATGGAAAACGTGACAACAAACAGAAATACGTTTATTTTGAGATTGATTACGGTCATATACCTAGGTCATGTAAGTATACTCAACAACAACAGTTCCTGAGGCACGATAAAACTCAGGACCCTGTTCAAAGTACATGTAGACGCACACATCTGAAACAATTCATATTTTCGAACAGACAATGGAGCAGTAAAACAGGTTTACACATTTAATGACACATGTCTAGCAGAGAATTGACGTCATGACAAGAGATGATGTAAGAACAGAATTGTCAGTTTAAACATTAGTAGCGTGTAGCGTGTCCTTCTCGCTTTTATGCATGAAATGCATCTCCTTTCGCATTATTTTTTTCTTGGAGAAAAGGGTCCAGCTCTTCGTATAACGTGTGTCATTAAACGCACAACTTGTGTATCCTTAGATCGTTTAACTGGGATCGTTTATGTACCCATTTCCAATCGGTTGCATACTAGAAGAAAACGTTCTGGTGTTCAAACCGCATACGAAAATATATAAAAACATGTAGCACAACCGCAACCTCTGTAGAAAAGCTTGATCATCTTATGTCAAAGAGTGTCCTTGCAGCAAGACCAGGATATAAAAACACGTGTGTTGTAAGGATTCGGTATGCATTGTTTCTGCTTTTCTTGGCTACTGCAACACGGGAACAAACGTCTAATGTCAATGGATATTTGAAGTTTGGAGATGCCACGCCTATCTGAATATGACCGCTTGCGAGCCATTGGTATGCGTCAGTCAGGAACGTCACAGTGCGAGGTTACTAGGCGACAGAACGTGCACAGAAACACCGTGTGGTGGCTGCTTGCCAAATTTGTCAAATCAACAAATAACCAATCTTGTTTTATTTCTGATTAAGAAATATAACATCGAAACGTTGTATAGAGAACGTCTAATTATCTGTTCTTTTCATATTGTTCATGTCTTGAACGAAGATAAGAGGAAATATATATTATATTAAATATTATTTTTTTGTAGTACGGTGTCAGTATCAATATTTGTGTGGGAACAGTTCGGTTGTACATGAACAAAATAATGTGAAATATATTGTGAGCCACATACTATAGTAAAACTCAAACAACTGAAAGTTTCTACATACACTTTGGCATGGAAACCATCACTGAAATGTTCCAAGAGTTAACCTGTGTCACCCCGTTTCCATCTGTTCCCCAGAGAGTTGGAAACCCGCATTTTGTTGTGATGACAAAAGACTTAGTTTCACTTCCCGGATGCATGAAACACAATAAGAAAAAATACTTTATATGTTTTTCAGGTGTATACATTTCTTCAACGATGACGTGCGGTGCACTAATGATTGTGTGTTCCTTGGTGGTGCTCTATACTAACCACCCTGCTGATGACAGTGACCGCATGAGAACAGTGAAGGCGTTCGATACTTGTGCTTTTGTTTTCTTCTTCAGCCTAATGGTACTTATGATGATCTGTTTTCTGTGTATTTTGAATTATCCTATTGGTGATAAGAGCATTAGTGACATTGGAATAATGCTTGGCATTCCCATTGTAGCTAGCGTTATCATATGTTCAATCGTTACCATAATTGCCTGTCGAAGGAGTCCCCATATCAGGGATACAGATCAACGGGGAGGAACGTGAAAAAAGGGACGTGAACTTACTTTTTGCTTCACAATAGTAAAATTTGTAGCATCTGTAAATAGACATTGTATGATCCTTGATACCACGGAGGGTGGCACAACATGTGACCGTTTCGAGAATATAGAGGGCCTCATTATTATAATTTGAACTAATATACATATGTACATACTAGTACAAGGTATAAATGAATTTTGATAAGTGTTCGTACAAGAATATGAACTTCGAATTATCTCGGAATAATGCGCAACACATAGGGCTGAAAATTTTATAATTGTTCTGGAACTATCTCACGGTAATTCAAAACAGGGAACAAGATTTCGTCAAATGAATCATTGAGCCAGGAATGCAACGATTTAAATGCTGACAAAATGAATAAACATATCTGGAACAGAGTAGACTGTTCATGCGGACAATTATATGCTACGTCTATTGCCAATGAAGTTTATCACCCCATGTTATAGCATTTGTTTCATATAAAAGATAGAAACCAAATAAATGGGACAATTAGTTGTTATGAATTAGCTTTACCTCTGTGACATATCACACAACTAAATGTGAATTTGTTTATCAAATAATCAATTACAGTAATTAACCTAGTGTCCTTATTTATACACAATTTAATTACGTATTGGGTACAATTTATAATACACATATACACATATAAGTGTGAAAGTAGTGACTAACTTTATGATCAAGGGTATAAATAATCAATTGTATCTATTAATCCTAATAGTATAACCATAAACCCTGTGTATATACTGAGCATATTTAGATACATCCGGATCTACAACCGCAGCCATATAATCAATCAAGGAAAGTATATTAGATTGAATTACAAATGTGTTATCACTTAAACAAAATTTTCCGTTATCCACGTAAGCCTAAACCTGGGAGAAATTAAGTTCTGTTCTATTCTGAAGACGCCGTCATGATTAGTTGGCGCCAGTCTAGACTGTCCAATCAATAGAGGTTATCACGCGAGTGTGTTTGGGGATGGTAAATATCCTGCATTAGGAATAAACATTGTATTTAGCGAGCCTTGGCGAGCTAAATACATAGTGTTTATTCCTAATACAGGATATTTACCATCCCCAAACACACAAGCGTGATAACCTCTTTATCATATCATGTCATTCTTTAATTCTGTGCTTTAAAATCGCTTTCCCTCTGTCACAAACATTACCGAAACATTGCGAGTTTTCCTGGAATGCGCGCATTAATATTTATTACGTCACAGGGTAAGTGATTAGTCAGCCGGACAGTGACAGTAGCCAATATAGTTCCAACTGAAATCTGTTTCTTATACAGTGGCGAAGCAACTTATAGGCAAAACAACAGTTGTTTTTAATTGCCTTTCGCGGCAATCCATCGGTCTGTCCGCTAGAGTAACTGCCCTTTGTCAAAGGGAAGCTACTCTAACTCTAGTCTATGAGACGTCACGGCCACGGTCAGACGTTGTTGACAGTCGGTCTGTCCTTTCATAACGTTAAGTGTAGTCAGATGTACACACAGCGACAAAACGAAACAAGGTAACAGTTCAAACGTATTTCGGCCGAATCCAACCATTTTGATTTGTGGAGAAGGTTTCAAGCCACAGAGGTCTACAAGCACAGATATGGCTACTGATCCCGCTTGGCTAGGCCTCGTGCCCTCGCAAAATTGTTTCGAAATTTATATCTCGAAAGTTGCCAAAACTTATAAAATGCCTTAGCCTACGTCACAGTTAGACACTGATTTTCAGTATATTAGACTGTTTGTTTGATAATGATAGCAATTATCCCTGTAGTTTATCCAGATTCACGATGGTTAATTCTGACTCGATCGCCGAATGACGAGGGCGACGCCATGCTTGTTTATAAACAGTGAAAGTAGTCCTACTTGACCTTTGATATTTGCATCTCTATCCGCATATGACCCCAACGGATATCGTTTTTATCCGTTGGCTTTATCCTGCCGAGAAACCTACCCATTATATGATAAACGTGAATATACAAACCGTGATGTTACTTGACCACTTGATGACACCTGTCAAACTCAAAGTGCCCCTGGTCTTCCACCCACCATGTGTACTACTTTAGCGTACTTGATTGTTTAATTTGTTGTTTTTGTTAACGATCGTTTCCATTTTCAACGTGGTAACCTTATAAGTGACTAACTTTTTTATCATGATGAAATGGAACATATTAAAATAATCAGAGGGACCAGAGACCATATATCGGTATATCGTCTCTGGAGGGAATGACGATCGCATTTTTCGCATAAATGTCATGCTCGCATTAATTTCATGATTTACTGAAGATAGATTTGAACATTTCTGAGCAACGATCATGTTTGGGTAAGGGAAGTAATCTTGTCTCCGCTTGCAATTTGGATTCAGTTCCGAGATCGCAGCTTGACTGTTCGGTACGGCCGAAAGGCGGCATCCATGTTGTTCACGCTCCGCTGATCACGGGGCCACATTTGTCTGTATTCTGCTTATGAGCCGGGATGCGCATGAAACACGGGTGTCAAGACGAATATATTTACCAATTATACGTACGGTCAATTAGCCAGTCCAAGAGACAATACCCTGGTTCTACCACCTTTAGGCGTAATTACGTCGCATGCCCCTGGTTCACGGTTCGTCTGATCTCCCGTCATAAAACCGCGATGTTTATTTACCTGGAGCCTCCGACAGCGCCGACTTCCTGTGTACATGTACGTACATGGCAATAAATGGTTTGACAGTTGTTTGACGGAATCAATCAATAATTATTGACACAGTGATGTAATTAAAATTTGTCACTATTCACAACTCCTATTTTGCTTTTTCTATTGTTCAGCTGTATTTTCGACCAGTTTTATATGTATAAAAAATCTTCTCTTGTATTTATAAACCAAACCTAAAAACATTATATAAGAACAATTGTGTTTTTAAACCGTACGCTTTCTATCAAAACAACCATGCAAGTAAGATTTCAGCCGTAATATTACTTTAGTCACTCCACAGATTACACATCTTATATGCTGCAAACGCAGCGAATGTAATGCTACTACGTCACAGCTGCCTCGGTAATTAAAGGCTGGAATGTTTTTGTGAAGGCAGTAAGAGCAGACGAATTCCCCCCTCGCTGTATAAAGGCGGTCGCTAACCATATATGTGTATTTTTACTGTTTTTGGCTTGATTTGATTGTCCTTTGGTGAAAACAAATGTTCAATTGTGAAAGCAAACCCTTTTCCCCTGAACGTTAAAAGACAGCTGACTTTGTTTTTGTCTGAAATATCAACGTTTGGAGTCGTTTATATATTCGGAAATCCATATTATGGTTAATATTTATAATATAATATGGACAATGGTAAAATTCATTATCACAGTTTTAGTGCTATTCACAAATGTATGTAAATCTACTTCGTGATGAATGAAGCATGGCAATAAATGTATGCATCTGATTCTTCATTTGTTCTGTATTCTTTGATGAGAATGCGTTTCGTTAATGTTGATCACTCTCACAGATGTTTTGATAAGAGGATAGGACTTTAACTGGAGAATAGTTATGAAAAATATATATACAAGTATAGGCGGTCTGTGCACATGTGGTGAAACTGATACCTCATTGATTTGATAATCGGGACTTGGAAATCATAGTCCGTCATTAAATTGATTTAATGACCGAATACTTAATCTTGAGACCTATTAGTTGTCTCATAATTAACCAAAACATAAGCCCAAGAAACCAAACTCTAGCTCGCAAACACCCCTCACTCACCCCGATATCCCAAATAATAACTAACTACCTCAATGAACACCAAACTCAAAATCTTAAACAAAACTGCAAAAAATCAAATATCTTCCCCCCTAAACTCAAAATACCCAAAATAGACACAACGCTAGCTAACCAAATAAATAAACAAACCGACCCAAACATAGCTAAAACCACCACACTTGCATACATACACGAAAATTGGCCAAATGGGTGTCACATATACACTGATGGATCTTCAGACCCGATCTCCAACCACACAGGCTTCGGAGTCCATACCACACAACCAGTTATATCCACACAATCTTACCGACTCCCTAACAACCAATCTATATTCACGGCCGAACTTATGGGCATGGCCTCAGTCCTGCATAACCAACAATCTAAAAACAACAATAAAATCCTAATTCTCACCGACTCCCTTAGTGGACTACAAGCCCTCCAAAACAAAAATACCAAAAAACGACCTCAATTAATAAACCAAATACTTAAAAGCTCCAACGACCTAACAAAAGCAGGCAAACAAATAACCTTCTTGTGGATCCCCGCCCACGTAGGAATTTACGGCAACGAAAGCGCCGATATAGCAGCTAAATTATCTCTTAAAATACCAGTAATAAGCCTAAACCTACCCATCTCAAAATCAGAAATTAAAAGTGTAAACAAACAAAAAATAACCAAAAATGGCGTAATCAATATCAAAACTCAAATAGCCAAATCAAAAAAGTGCTCAGAAAACCACTAGCCAAACCTAAAATCCTACACCCCTCTAAAAAAATTGACAGATTAATTACAAAACTCCAAACAGGACACACGAACCTAAATAACCACCTAAAAAAACTTAAAAGACACACCACAGGCAACTGCCCCCACTGCAAACAACCCGAAACCACAGAACACGCACTCATCCACTACCAAACACACAGAACCACACTACAAACCACCCTCAATCTAAATAAGGTTCCTACTCTAGATGAAATACTAAACCCTCAAAATAAACAAGAAAACTTCAAGGCCCTAGGCGTATTCCTAATCAAAACAGACCTAATTAAGCGCATCTAAAAACTAATTAATCTACCAATCCAAAATCCAATAAACATACAAACACCCACCTCACCCGGCTCCCTTAGTTCCCTCCTCCACCCACCTCGGCATTTATTCCAAATTTAAAAATCTCAAAAATTCAATATAAGCAACCCCTAAAAGCCCCCTCTTGGGTTGCAAACACCACTTTCACCCTTTTCGGAATATACTAAATGGTCCGGCCAGGCCCGTGTGCGAAATACGCTGCAGTCGGAAAGCGCACGTTAAATCTTCTATATCAGTCAGTAGTTGTCTCAGCACTACACAATCAGCAATCTAAAAAACAACAAAAAATCCTCATTCTAACCGACTCCCTCAGTGGACTACAAGCCCTCAAAAATAAAAACACTAAAAACCACCCCAAACTAATAAATCAAATACTCAATAGCTCAAACAACTTAACTAGGGCAGGTAAAC